TGGAAAAATGTGCTAAAAGAAAAAAAGAAAAAAAAAGGAGGAAAGTAAAAAAAAAAAGAAAAAAAGAAAAAGGATAAGAAGAAGAAAAAAAAATGGAAAAAAAAGGACGAAGGATAGGTTAGGAATAAAAGGAAAGACACTTGAGAGGAGACACTTCATTCGTTTCTCTGAGCTGTCAGAGAGTTTTGAAGAGGTGTAGGAGGTGGAAGGGCAACAAGTGTCTGTGTCCATCCTAGGAAAGGGATGAGGAGAAAGATCCGAAACCTTTTGGTGTCTTCATATACATGAAGACTATCATCTTCGAAATTTTATCTTTCTCCTATCTTTTTCTCTCTCATGTCAAGCTGTGTTTCTTCAAGGAGAAGAAGAAGAAGAAGAAGAAGAAGAAGAAGATGAAGAAGAAGAAGATGATGAAGATCGAAGGGAAAGGGCAAAAGCAGGCAGCAGCCCTTTCGTTTTTCTTCAGTTCGGTTCGTTTGACACTTGATAGTTCTACACACTCGGTACTTCTAAACACTATCATATATACATGGTGTCTTAAAAGTATACCAATCATTTTGAAAACATTGAATATTTGTAATACTTCGTTTTTTTATAATTTATCATGGTTTTTATAATATTATATTTTGCAATTAATCATTGTACACATTTTCTTTTACAAATTTGTAATATTAAAATATTAATTATTATATTATTAAATAATATTTATCAGTGAATGAATTAAAAGAATATAATGTCTGTCAATGAATTTCTAATATTAAAGTATATAACATTTATTATATTAGAATATTTATATTAATATTTTATTGAACAAATAATATATTTCATAATATTTTTGTATATACTAATTATAATATATATTTTTATATATAATATATTTATATGTAGAATTATATTTTATAAACATAATATTTTTATATATAATATATTTATATATACTGCATAATACTTTATTACATATAATACAGTAATTTATTATTAAGTTGATAGTATTAAAATTTAAAGAATTATTTAATATTTTTATATATACTATTTTTGTATATACTGCATAATACTTTATTATATAATACACTAATTTATTATTAAATTAATAGTATTAAGATCTAACGAATTATTTAATATAAAAAATTAATATTTTATCTTAAATAATTTAGCTATAAAAAAATATTAGTCTATATTAAATATAATACAATTACGAACAACTTGGTTTTACTTAAATCGTAATAAATTATATCAAATAATAATAATAATAAATAATTATAATAGTATATAATAAATAATAAATAATAGAAATATAAAGTAACGTTAAAGATAAATCCCAAAGTTTGGTCCACGAGACCATCAGATAAGAATATTTTCTCAAAGAAAGAGTAAGAAAGAAAGAAAGAAAGATAGATAGATAGATAAAGAAAGAAAGAGAGAAAGGGAAAGAAATACTAACGGGTGCTCGCCAATTAAGCATCTAGAGCGCGAACGAACGATGTAATTTTTTGTTGGAATTTCCGGTAGTGATTTATCAAACGGAAAGATGCTATCTGATGGACGGGCAAAGGCAAGAAACGTTTCTTCTTCTTCTTCTTCTTCCTTCTCTCTCTCTCTCTCTCTCTCTCTTTCTCTGGTTGAAGAAGCAAAATAAAATGAAGAAGAAGAAATATTTCTTCTTTCAGTTCGTTTTATAATATATACCAACGAGTAATGTGTACACACTCTAATAGAAAATCAAATATGAACGTCATCGAGAGAAAGATGTATCTTCGATTAATCGATCATTACTCTTTATTTCACTTCATTCATTTCAAAAATTCGATTAAAATGATATACGATATATCAATAGTAATCTTTCTTATATATAGTGTTGTTTTTTTATTTTTTATTTTTTTTTTTTTATTTTAAACACCTCAGTAAATTACAACTCACGTTTTTTGTTTTATTTTTCAACTCACTTTGTGTTTCAACTTTTATTAAATGAAGAATTATTGATTGATGAGATTAGTGATATAATTGATTTATCAATTGGATTTAACTATAATAATAGAATTTAACAAATAATTAAATAGTGATATTTTTGATTTTAAACAACTTAACTTGCTAAATTTAACCCTTTTTTTTAAATCTTTTATTTCACTCACTTTTTATTTTAACTTTTACTAGGTGAATTATTGATTGATAGGATTAATAAAAAAAATTGTTTTATCAATTGGATTTAATTATAATACCATAAGAAAATTATTAAAAAAATATTGGTTTTTATTATTTTAAACATGTTATTTTTAATATTAAATTATAACCCTTTTTTAATTATTTTTATTTTTTTATTTTTACTCACTTTGTTTTAACTTTCACTATATAAATTATTAAATGATAAAATTAATAAAAAAAAAAATTATCTATCAATTGGATTTAACTATAATAGAATTTAAGAAATTATTAAATAATAGTTTGTTTTTTTTTATCTTAAACATCTTAATAAATTGTAGCCCTTATTTTATTTATTTTTTTCACTAACTCTTTGTTTTAACTTTTACTCTATAAATTATTAATAAATAGAATTAATAACAAAAAAATTGATTGACACCAGTTGAATTTAATCAACAATAATTTAATTAACAATATTAAGAGATTGTAAAATGTTGTATCGTTTTGTTAAATGTTGAATTAAATTAAATTAAATTAAAAAAAAAAAAAAAAATGAAATAAATTGTAATAATAATAAATTTGAGAAAAATATTGAAAAATATCTCTCATTGGTTCTCTTTCCTTTTCCATCCCTTTCTTTTTCTTCTCCTTTTTCTTCTTTTTTTTTTTTTTTTCTTTTTACGAGAATTTACATTTTGATGGCGCGTGCTACGACGAAAGACAAGAGGGTGGGATCGAGGAGAAGTGGGGAACCGACAAACAGAGAGCCCTTTGTGCGACCAATATATTTATCTGTCAACAATTGCACCGGGAAACGATCGACGAGAAAGGGTCGAAAGTTGGACGGGAAGCTACTCGGATTCACGCTCGTCTTGATTGATATTAATTGCGAGAGTACTAAATTTAAATATTCTATATTAACTTCAAACATTTTTTCATTCACGCTTATACGATTCTAATATTTTTTATCTTTATATATATATATATATCTTATATCAAATTAACATGAAAGTAAATTAATCATTTAGATTCAACAAAAATATTTATTTAATTAACATAATATTATATAAATAAATAAATTTTTTTTTTATTTAAAATAATGATTCCCTTTCGGGATACATGGGGTGCGTCGACCCGTTTTAATATAATACCTCCTTACAAATATACATTATAAATAAATAAATTTATATTAATAAATAATATTGTATAAATTACTCAAATTAACATAATATTAATTATATTTTGATTTAACTATAATATTGTAATAAAAATTAAAATTCAATTTTGTTAGCTTATATATTAGGATCTTCTTAATAGATAAAAATATATTTTAAAGTAATATTAATTGTAATAATTAATAATTTAGATTGTAATATTATTAAAAATTTAAATTTAATTTTGCTAGCTTATATTAGGATCTTATCAATCTTTAAAAAAATAAATTCTAAATTAAAATTAATTATAATAATTAATAGTTTAGATTGTAATATTATTAAAAATTAAAATTCAGTTTTGTTAGCTTATATTAGAATTTTATCAAAGATCAAAAATAAATACTAAACTAAAATTAATTGTAGTAATTAATAATTTAAATTATTAATATTAGTAATATTGTAATAAAAATATTTTTTTAGCTTATATATTAGGATTTTATTATTAGTCAAAAATAAATTCTAAACTAATATTAAATAATAAAGATTATTAATTTTGATTGATATTTGATATAATATTAGAAAATAAAAATTCAATCTTCCTTGTTTCAATTAGAATCTTTTACCAATCGTTCAAAATACATTCTAAATTGTTTTATTAACAAATTTAATATTTACTGCAATCTTGATTTAAAGAAACGTTCTTTTTATTAATTATTTTAAAAGTTTAGTTAATTTATATTAATTAATAATGTAGTATGTGTACAAAAATTACGAAATCAGAATTTCATTTTATTTGGTGAATATAAAAATTCTGTTAATTAGAAAATAAAAATGAATACTCACTTAATTTAGATGTAAACGTTGTTAGATATGTTGTTTGTAGATTTGATCAATCCTAAATTTTCTTCATCCACTTCTGAACAAAATCAGCTTTCACAATGATCTCAGAATTAAATTTATCTGTCAAATCATTGTGAAAACCAGTTTCGTTTTCATAACAGCGGACACAATAATTTGACGAGTTTTTCATCACACAGATTGTTTAATTATTATTATTATTATTATGATTACAAACCATTTTTTATCCATTGGAATGTATCCTCCATTATATATACCATATGTATACCTAATTGATGAGGTATAATGATTTGTATCATTTAAATCAATTCCTGTTTAATTTTATTAAAAATAACTCAATTCACATGAGAATTAATACATCTTTATTTATTAACAATCTAAAGAATAGTATTGAAATATAATTTGTACTCACCATTTGTTATTTAACTCATCGTCTTTAATTGTATTGTGTCGACAGTTTAACAATTTATATTTTTTTTTTCCTTCTTTTTCATATATTCTTATTTTTATTCTGGTTTTGTCACATGTATCGGACCTAGAATTTCTGTGAAGATCCTAAAATAACAAGGAGACGTGTGCCAGACGTCGAAATTTCTAATTTCAAGAATTCTCTCACACACTGTCACACATTCTCAATTTCTTTGTTACTAAATTTCAAGAAAAATGTGCGAAAAGAAAAATAAAAACAAAATTACAAAATTACAAAAAGTATAAATTAAAATTGTTCAGTTCTTTTGATTATCTTTTTTGTCCAATTGCTGAACATAACAAAATTAATATTAAACATGAACTTCAAAATTTTTCAATTTGTTCATTTGTTATTTTATTTTTTTTTTTTTTTAAATTTAAATTCACATTTTAAACACACGTGCTAACTCTGTTGAACATCATTGAAAAAGTCGGACGTTTGACGTGTTTCTTCATAAGAATATTTTTTTTTTTTTTATCTTCTCTCGTTGTTTTTCCTTTTTTAATTTTTTTTCTTTAAACTCTTCTTCTTCTTCTCTTATTTTTTTATTCCGGGTCTCGTCAAGGTGACGGGGCGCGTATTATCGTCCGACAGACCGGACACCATACGAAGAGGCGTAACAGAACGCAAGGAATGCTTGGAACGATGATCAGTGATATTTAAACGATCCACGATCCTCGATCCACGATCGATAGATCTACTTGGGAGGTTTTCATCGTATCAGCGGGATGTATTACAAAACAATTTCAAAACTGTATCTGTAAGAAAGATATCCACGCGACTAATAAACACGAATGCTAATAATATCAATCATCATTTATATTATTTATTATTATTATTTGTTAGTTAATATTTGTATTATTTATATAAAATTAATATCGAGAGATATTAGTTCGAATGAATGATCTAGGGATTTAATGTTTTGTTTTGTTTTGTAATTTAATTTTGTTTCTTTTAAAATTAATTTAATTATTAAGTAATTATTAGGTAAAGTATTTTGATTATATTTTGATTATATTTGATATGATCTACGAATTTAATGTTTTATTTTTTTTATTTGGAATTAATTTAATTTTGTTTATTTTAAAATTAATTGAATAATTAAATTATTATTAAGTAAAGTAAACCTAATATTTTTACTTTGCATTTTTTGGTAATTATTATATATATTTTTAATTAAATTGACATAGGGTAGAAGATTGGATATTTTTTTAATTTTGCATTTAAATTGTTTTTTGTTTCTTTCTAAATTAATTTCATAATTAAATAAACATTGGGGGTAAAGTAAATTTAATATTTTTACTTTGCATTTAAAATTATTCCTTTCTGTAATTATTAAATATACATATATACATATATGTTAAATTTAATATTTTATCATTGTATTTAATTTAATTTGATTTCTTTGGAAATTAATTTAATAATCAAATAACTATTTAAGTAAAGTAGATTTAATATTGTTTACTTCGTTATTAATTATAATTTTTATTAATAATTGATATTAATTTTAACTAAATATCTTACAAATGATTTTTATATTTGTGATAATCTGATGTTTAACCTAACCTCTAATATTTTTGTTTTAAATAAAAATTTGCAAAAATGACTTTCTAAATTACTTAGATCTATATTACATTTTTTTTTTTTTTGTTATAATTCACTTTGGGAAGAAAAAGAAATATGTCGGCGAGTAAAGTCTTTCATGTAATTTCACGCGCTACCATCCTCGTAAGTTTTTTTACAAGCTGACACTGGGTAAAACTCGCAAAGGGCAACCCAACGTCTACTTTTCTAATCACGAGCTTCGCTGATCTTCTTTTCTTTTTATTATTATTTCCCTCTTACTCTTTCTTAACTCTCAAAAGAGAGGAGAGGAGAGGAGAGGAGATCCAGAGAGCCACCGAAAGAGAGCGTCAATCTCGAGAGGGTAAATCCTGCGGGATATGAACGCTTCTGCTAACCGCCGCTCCTTCAGAACACGTCTCGTGTTTCAAACTTTTTTCCCCTTCTCGACATTCTCGATGCCGATCTCCTCTTCTTCTCTAATGTAAAATCTGACGATGAAGACCAACGTAGAGAGAGAGAGAGAGAGAGGACGACGACCACGATGATGACGTTTCGATCGAGCATCGTCATCTTCATCGTCACCCCCACCACCATCTCGAAGAGAATCTCCAATTTTTCTTGTATCTTTTAAATCATTTACATTATATCCGATTTATATAAAAATACTTATTAAAATATTATTTTTTATCATGACAGAACAATATTTAAATTTATTAAATAAATATTCGATCAACTTCAAAATAATTTTAATATAAACAACAAATTATTCAAAGTTAAATCATTGATGTTATTAATTAAACATCGAAGTGAGACACTCGTAATTTATTACACAAAAAAAATTTTTGTTCCTCGCGTATTATTTTTCTAAATAATTATTTAAATATAGATTGGGATACATAGTATAGAATTTGGACTTAACAGTAAAATTATTTAAAGGGATTAATCATTAATATGAAAAATACTCTACTTTTCTACTCGTAATATTTTATAACGATATGCAAATTTGTATGAAACAATTTTTTTCGCGGGTTACACCGTTAAAGTTAGTTACTGAAACGTGCTAGGGTCAGTCGACACATATATTATTTTGCACGTGCGTTATCGGACCGGCTTGATAACACCAATGGCAGTTATGCGTAGCCCTGATAAAGATACCGCTTGACCTTACGACCCCACAGCGATTCTCCGAACGTAAAGTAAAAGACTTTAAAAGAAGAAGATGAAGAAGAAGAAAAAGAAGAAAAAGATGACGATGAAGAAGAAGAAGAAAAAGATGACGATGAAAAAGAGTTGCTTCGGTCTTCCTTTAAAGAATGATTAAAACCTCGATGTAAATGACGAAGAATATTTTTTTTTGTTTTTTTTTTTTTTTTCGATTAAATTAAATGACATTAATCGAATCGAGTCCTACGGAAATAGAATTGAATAAAACTTGAACGATGTTCACTGTGTTTTATCCTGCATCAAAATGATGTCGAAAGATTTATTACGAGCAAATGCATCAACGAGAGATATCTCATATCGAATCCTTCCAAGAACTGAACCATCCCTTTTCCCCTCAACACTTTTCTTTTATCTAATTAATGCCGGCAAATCGATGAGATTTTAAACTTTACTCAAAAGATCGTAAATGTTAATCGATATTGAATCATGAGACTAACGTTTGAAATAGTATTTATCTTATTAAAGGAAATGCTAATGCTTCTGACGTATGCATTCTACATTAATTAACTGATAAATGTAATTTATACGAAGAGTTATTTTTCAAATATGTTAAATTATTTTTACGATTCCTACTTTATCGACAACTTCGTTGGTAATTTACCGACCGAATCTTATATATGATTTTTTTACTGACAGTCGCCTACTATTTTCTACAATCGATACAGAAGTTAACTGCGTTACCAAGAACGATAAAACAGTTTTCTTTTTTATCCACATCGGTCGGTAAATTTATTTGACTGAAGAATAAATTGTTTCACAACAGTTTCCTGCCTCCTAGGATGAAAACAGAAAAACAAAGTATTAAGGAGGTGTTACGTAAAACTTCGTCAAGTTTATTGAACAAACACGTTTTCATTCTACGAGTCATAAAATTGCATCGGAGAAAAAAAATGATAGTATAATAGAAATAATAAAATTGAAATGAATTGAAGAATGATGAGATTTCAATGAAAAAAAGCTCCTAAATTTTGTTCTTTTTTTTTATAATAAAATATCCTAAGTTTTTATAAAATCAATAGAAAAAATATTAGATTTTTAATCTTTTTTTTTTTTTTTTTGCAAAAGAAATGTGTACGGTAAAGGAAGATTAGTAAAGGTGTAACGGTGACGATCTTTTACAACAGGATGTAGTTAGTAGGAGGATACGAAGAAGAAGAAGAAGAAGGAGGAGGCGTAAAAGTAAGAAGAAAATTACAAAGTAAAAAAAAAAAATGAATAAGAAAAGGAACACCAGCGAAGCAGCCATTGATAGAAGCGACGAAGCGAGGTCAGCTATTTGTACGCGTGACAGACCCCTCCGGAGAATCTCGTGCGTGAACGGTCTTTACATGTACCGTATATTATATATGTACACACATGTGTATAAATGCGTAAATCGAAGGGGCACACTTACTCGAACAAATTTCCTCTACTGATATCTATGCTATGATCTTGTTGTATGAGTTAATACGTGTGACCGCACGAACATTCCATCATCTTTCTTCTCCCATACCTTTTCATCTTACTCCTCCTCCTCCTCCTTCTTCTTCTTCTTCTTTTACAACTATAATATCGTTGTGAAAGAATAAAAAAAGAAGGAACCAAAATTTCTATAGAAAAAAAAAAGTTTGAAAATGAAAGTATCCCAAAGATTATCTTTCCGACTAGTTCAGACCTGATTTCTTTTACTTTGTGATTTATGGTGAAATTCTTTTACCATAAACACACACACACACATACTTTTACAACATATGAGATATTAATTCGGAAAATTCTGAAGTTCGAGTGGAGAAAAAAAATTAATAGTATATCACATAATATGAATATTAATTGAATGTTTCTTAATTGGAAAAGAATAGAATTTGAGAATATAAATCGATAGAATGGTGTTAAGTATAAGGGTTGAAAGTATATGTGTGTTGTAAGTATGTTAGTATGTGAGAATGAGAAAAAGGGTGGTAGGTATTGGTAAAAGATAAGTGAGAAGGTAGGACAAGTAAGACAGGAAAACCGTACGTCTTAGTATAGGAACTAATATACATCTCTAAGTGAAGGGTTAAATTTAGAGCGACCTATTCTATGCATAGGTGCCTATCCCTCTCTAGGATTTCCGTTTCCTTTCAACCCTGTCTTCTCAAGGATAAACGTATATTGCGTCTTATAAAACGAAACACGTCTAACTTGTTCCAATTTTTTTACTTTTTATTTTAATTTCAAATGAACCAACTGACATAATTTTGTCACGCGTAAGAACAATTTTCTCTATTTCGTTATACTTAAAAAAAAAAAAAAAATAATAATTTAAGCTAATCGTTATTTGTTTTTATTAAATTAATATTAAATTTTGGATTATATTTAAATATTAATTTAAATTTATCATTATTCGAACGAATGTTAAGAATATTATTTTAATATGTTAATCATATTTATATCAAGATTATAATAATTTGAAATTATACTAGGGGTTGAATAATAATTTCTAGCTTAACATAAGGACAATCTTTTATGTAGGTCAAACTGTATTATTATATGCAAATAATTTGGAATTATTTGTTATAATTATTAATTTTTGATTGAAATAATATTTATTAAATTTACGTTTATTACGTTATTAATAATAATAATAATATTATTATTATTATTATTATATATTAATATAATATATAATAATATTATAATAATATAATATTTTTATATTTTATTTAATATTTTAAATATTTATTTTATATTATTTATTTTATATTTTATTTAATAATATTTTTATTTTTATTATTATTATTATTATTAAAATAAAATATATGATTTTAAACTTATTTTCAAATACTTATATTGGATAAATAATTTGTTTGGTTTGGTATAATTTGAAAAAAAAAAGAAAAAAAAAAATAGAAAAAGAATTTCTTAAAATTTCCCTTATAAATTTCGATCTAATAATCCAACACGATCTCTCTTACATGGCGTGTATCATTTTAAACATTTGTCGTCTCGCGTCATCTCTCTATTCTCGGAGGGATTAATTGTTCTAATTAAGAAGATCGTAGCTCCGGAATAACTCGTCGAGTTTATATTCGTCCACGGGATGCTGATGATACACGTTTCTCGTCTTTTTCTTCCATCTTCTTTTACTTTTTTTTTTCTTTTTATCATTTCATTCTTTTTATATTTATTCTTATTCTTCTTGTTGTTTATTTCTTTTTTCTCTGTCTCTTACTGTGTCTTTGTGTGTTGTGTCTGTGGGTCTCTCTCTCTCTCTCTCTTTCTCTTTCTCTTTCATTCTCTCATTTTCTACCCTCGTTTGAACACAGCTCTCTATTTTTACATTATTTGCTGTTGTGTCTCGACTGGCAGCAATGATCACGAGAATCCGACGTTAACATATTTGTAGCTTGAGTCATGATGATTATGACGATATGAGAGAGAACCAGGAAAAAAAAAGGAACAGGAAGGACGAACGGAAAGATGAATGGAAAATGTTTTTTTTTCTTCTTTTTTTTTTATACGATTTATGAATCTAAGTTTTTATAATGTAATTTTTATCTAATGAATACTTTTAGAAATTTTTGATGAAAATTCCTGACAAATACAGAAGAAGAAGAAAAAGAAGAAGAAGTTGAAGTTAAAGAGTTGAAAGTGAAAGCAGGGTGACGATGAAAATGAAAAAAAAAACGGATGAAGATAAAGATGAAGTTGGAAAGGAGGAAGAAGAAGAAAAAGAAGTTGAAGTGGTGAAGATGAAAGCAAGGTGTAGATGAAAATGAAAAAAATGAAGATGTAGATGCAGATGGAGATGCAGTAGAAGAAGTTGAAGTTGAAAGTGTTGAAGATGAAAGCAGGGTGAAAACGAAAATGAAAAAGAGGATGAGGATGAAGATGAAGATAAAGATGCAGANNNNGAAGTTGAAAGTGTTGAAGATGAAAGCAGGGTGAAAACGAAAATGAAAAAGAGGATGAGGATGAAGATGAAGATAAAGATGCAGATGAAGAGGCAAAAGAAGAAGTTGAAGTTGAAGTGTTAAAGATGAAAGCAGGGTGAAGACGAAAATGAAAAAAAGGATGAGGATGAAGATAAAGATGAAGATGAAGATGAAGAGAAAGAAGAAGAAGAAGAAGAAGAAGAAGAAGAAGAAGAAGACGAAGAAGAAAAGAGTGGAAAGTAAACACACGTAGTATTGTATCTCTTTCTATCTATTTTGCATGAGGATGCATCTTAATCGAGAACACGCGGCGTTTCTTCTTCATCATCATCTTCCTCTTTTCATCCATCCTCCTCCCTTTTTATTCCTGAGAAAAATACTCACGATAAATACCCGTCTTGAAAGAAGAGAACAAGCACCCAGTTAAAAATGAAAAAACGAATAAGCGCGTTCATAATTAAAGAGCGCACTTTTGATTATCATGATTGAGATTATCTATCGAACGAATATATTTTCTTTTTATTTCTATTTTTAATTTGTATTTTTAATGATTGCTAAATGAAAGATAAAATCAATTAAGATCTATTAATCTAATTATAACAAAGATATAAATAAATAATTGTTTTTATAATATAAAAAAAAGTATTTTTTCATTTCTAAAATTATTTTCTATTATGAAATTTTCAAAATAAGCTATCATACAATTAAAAAGAAATAAGAAAAATATAAAAAATAAAATCAATTTACAAAATAAAAAAAAAAAAAGAAGTAAAAACTTGCCCTCTTTCTTTTTACAGTAAAGTTCATAAAGAAAAATGAAACTTTTTGTTTATTAATCTGACAGAGAAAAAAAATAAAAAATGAAAAGAAAAAAACAGAAATCCTGCCCTTGACCCTTGTGGATCCAGATTCTCGGACAACTTAGACCACATTCTGGGTCGTCTTCTTTGCGTTCCCAAATCCGATCCGGTTTGGATGCCGCAGGATAAGAAAAAAGATAAAAGAAAAAGGTAGAGAAAAAGAGAGAGAGAGAGAGAGAAAGAGAGAGAGAAAGAAAAGAAAATTGAAAAAAAAAAAAACAACAAAGAAAAAGTAGAAAGAAGATGACCAAAAAAACGAATAGTAGTAGTAGTTGTGATGGTTGTGACGTTGACGATAAAAATGTGATGACGATGAAAATGTGGTGACGATGAAAAAGAAAGAAAAATTTGGGACAGAGTGAACGAGAAGAATGGGGACGAGGAATCGTGAGGAAAGGGGGAGAGGGGAGAGGGGGGAGAGAGGGGAGTGAAGAAGGGAAGAAAGGAACGAAGTTTCCAGTAGGGGGAAGTCAAATGTACGCGACGTGCTTCTTAAACTGCGAATACCATGAAACACGCGAAACTCGTTTCGTCGTGTCTCTCCAAACGAGCAGGAATCTATGATTATGTTTCTTTTCTCTCTCTCTCTCTCTCTCTCTCTCTCTCTCTCACTCTCTCTCACTCTCTCTCTCTCTCCCTTCCTCTTTCTCTCTATCTTTCTCTGTGTAACCAACTCCCTTCTGTCTTTTTCTTCTGCTTCTTCTCTTCGTACCATTACAACCATCACCACCACCATAATTTTTCTCTTTTTTTTACTTCCCTTTTTTCCCTTTTAACTCTCCCGTGAACAACCTACGATGAAATTTTATTCCCTCGATAATTTCATTTGGTCAGATAAGAAATATAAAGAAAAAAAAAAAAAAAGAAAAAAGAGGAAAATTAAATAAAATCAATGAAAGATTTTTAAAGGGAGGGGGATGATAGGTGGAGAAGAATAAGATAGGGCGGTTAGTTAGGGGGGAGAGAAGATTCTCGTTTATGGATATTTTATGGTGAATTTTAGCGATTAAGTATTAGTACAGGTTATAGGAATGTTTGAAAGAGAAGATAGGAATGTGGTGAAAGGTAGAAGGGATGGGAGGACTTTCTCGAGTAAAGTTTACTTCGTAAACTTGAGAAACATTCCAAATAGTATCTCGAATAGTCCATACAATGAAAATACATGTTAACTGTTAGCTAAAGGAAGAAATAGAAATAGTAATAGTAAAAGAAAAAAAGATAGAAGTATATCAAATCAATATTTCATAAAATTCACATAAATTATTGGGTAATAATTTATGACAGATCGAAGATTTAAGAAGTTGAATGTATACATTGACTAACAATAACTATAATAATTCGAAATAGATATCAAAAAATGTTTTTTTCAGGTATACGAAACCGAATACCCCTATTATTTCATAGAACATTCACATAAATCACTTTTCGGAAGATCGATAAATTCAAGAAGTAGTGAATATATCCTGGATTACAAATCGGGTTTGGTGAACCCGAACTCGGTAGGAAGTGAAAGGATAAAGGGTGAAATAAACGGGGTTACGGGTGGTGGTAGAGGAGGAGGAGGAGAAGAAGGAGGGAGGCTGGGTGGGTGGTTAGTTGCTGGATCGACCTAAAGGATGAAGTGAACGACGAGACCGAGAGTATCGGTGGGTGGGAGTGAAGAGAAGAGGGGGGGGGAGTTGGTAGACAAAGGAAAAAAGCAAAGAAAAGAAAAAAAAATAAAATAAGGAATGAGAAAGAGGAAAATCAAGAATGAAGGTGAACAACGGAAAATGAAAGGTGAAAAGTGGGAAAAGGGCATTTGAGAAAAGGAAAATTTCGTGTGATCGTTGAAGTACGAGGATAAAGAAAAAAAGGAAGTTAAAGGATGAAAATAAGAAGAAGGAAAAGAAGAAGAAGAAGAAAAAGAAGAAGAAGAAAAAGGATAAGGATGAGGATGAGGATGAAGGGGAGGGGGAGAGGTACCTATAGAAGGACCTGCACGGCCAGTGGGAATGGAATGCAGGTACAAGTCCAGTCTCCGGGTTTGCTCTTGCCTCCTCACCTCCTGACCAACCTCTTACCCCCCCCCTCCCCCTTTACCACCCCTTCCTTTCCCTCCTCATCATCCTCATCCTTCTCTTGACTCTTTTCTTTTACTTCTTCCTCGTCACTTCCTTCACCGCTCCTCACTACTACTACTACTACTACTACTACTCTTCTTCTACTACTACTTCTACTTCTTCTACTTCTTAGTCTTCTTTTCCTTCTACTTCAACCTTCTTCGATGCCGATCCTCCACTACATTTCTTTTTTTTTTCTTTTCTTATCTCTCTTTCCTTCTCCCTCACTCTTCTCATTTGTTCTTTTTATTTTATTTTTAACTTATTTTTTTTAACATGCTGGTACTGTTAACTGTTACCAACGACACGGTGGGACAGAATCAAGCAACATGTTCGATTCGACAAGCTGCTTGCTAGCTACTAACATACACCACCTACTATTAAAAACATTTATCTATCCCTTTTACTTTACCTTCTATCCCCCAAACCTAACTCACCCCTATTTTTCCTTCTGTTTTGATACTTTTACTGTTACGCATTACAACCCCTATTACTAAATTCATTACCTCTGTTGTTATCGTAGCCCGCACGCGTAGATTATTCCACTCTAACGTATGTTGTTTCTTCCTTCATTTAATCGAACACACATAAGAGACACTTACAACGTCCATAACTTCCTTCCCTCTTTCATACTCACTTTATTTATCCTCCATGGGTTTTTTTTTCTCTTCGCAGGAATGTGCGTACGTGTCTTATTGATTATAGACGATAAATCTTATTTCTTCCTCTATCTCTTCCTGAACCGATAGGTTTAGTTTCTGTAAAAATAAACAAAAACAAATGATTTATTAATATGGTAAAAATAATTAATTCTTCTAATAAATATAATTATTAATAATGAATAATAAGTTCGTGGGTTTATTGTGTTGAGAAACAATTTTTGAACGCTGTACACTACAAAATACAAAACTGTACAATTTTTGTAAAATTTACTTTAAAAATATTAATTTAAAAATACACGAAAACATTTGATTCAACCTATTATTATTATATTATCAATATAGTGATAAAGAAAGTGAAAGTTTTAAAAAAAAAAAAAAAATTGACAAAGTTAACAAAATTGCAAAAGGTTAGAAAGAAAGATAAAGAAAGATAGAAGAAGGTATGAAGTTGAAAAGAAGGGTAGAGGGGAGAGTAAAAGTAGCAGGTCGAGGTTCGATCACCCGGAGGTGGGACCCAGTGGAAAGGGCCTGCGAGTGGAATGCGGCCTACGTGCGGCCCTGCCGTGGGAGACAGCCGAAGCGAAGCAACGAACGGCCTACTAGCATCAACGGTGGTGGAGCCCTTGTGTTGCGAGTACCTTGGGAGAGCAGCACCCAGCCACCGGCTCGTTAGTTTATTCTCTTTCTCTTTCTTTCTCTCTCTCTCTCTATATATATATACAATACTTGTCTACACTGTACACACGAAGGAAGGAAGAAACGAACGAATGCAGTCACGGCCGACTCGAATCGAACTCTGATAACGAGCCTCTTTTTTTCCTTCCGTACGGTAGAACATTTAAATGCACTGAATCGGTATTGGGATACTTTAATAAGATACATGCGAGTTGTTATTATGTTGGTACCGAGTATCAAATATTTTGTATTTTTTTTTTTTATGAATTTTTTTTTTGGAAACGTCTACAATTTGAATTTGTAACCGTGGAATATTCAAATAGATTATATATGTTTGTATACTTTAATAAGATTCACGTGAGTTGTTATTAGGTTGGTACCGAGTATCAAATATTTTTTTTTTTGTATTTTTATTTTTTTTTTTTGTTGAAACGTCTACGATTGGAATTTGGAACGATGGAATATTTAAATGCACTGCATGCGCCGTCTGAATGACTTTAATAAGATTCACGCGAATTGTTATCATGTTGGTGAGAGTATACAATATTTTGTATTTTTTTATTTATTGATAAGATTATTTTGTAATATTTTTTTTGCTTCAGATTGTTTATCATTCTATAGAAAAAATTATTTAAAATATCTATAATAAAATTTCGAATAGTCAAAACATTAAATCCACTTCTTCATTTGTATACTTAATCATACATGTATAATAAATAAGTATGAAATAATTATAATAAATTAAATTAAACTTATTATTTATCAATAAAAAATTCTTCAAATCAATCGTAATGTGATATTCATAAACAATTTGAACTCTATCTAGATTGATTTATTTACATCACTCATCTTTGTACAAAAAAAGAAACAAGAAATAAAAAGAATCAAAAATAAAAAAAAATGTTCGATTCTTTCACGCGTTATTCGATCGTATTTCAAGGCTGAATATCATCTGGTATGGCGTCATTAAAATATGATAATTCATTGATAATTCGTATAAATAATATAACATATATTCTGTTCGGTTACGCGCGCTATGTCAATGTCAATTCTTCTTTTCGAATTCACGTCAAACAACGCAAACTGCTTCATAATCGATCAGGATGATTTTATACTTGTGTGCATGTGTGTTTCCATCGATTTTATTTTTATTTTTTCTACCATTTTTTCTTACTCTTCTCTTTTTCCTTTCTTTTTATTCGAACAGTCTTATCAAATCGTCACGATTTTACACTGTGCATTCGAAGGACACCAGACTAGCATAACTGTTTCGTGTTATCTCATTTGACGATCGTTTCAATAATAAAAACTCAACGAAAAAGACAAATAAAAAATATTACAATAAATTACAATATTTTTTCTGATTTTTTTTTATCTTCCTCCTACCCCTCATACATTTGTTTTCAACTAATAAATAAAATTTGTATAAAACAAAATAAAAATCAATAAATCGTAATTCTAATTAAATGAAAATAATCCTAGTAAATCATAGTATAATCTATTATTCACTATAACATGATCTTGATGAACGATGATCAACCGGATATGATCTTCTAAAATTACTCATATAACATCTCGGATACCTGGTGTCCGTATCTAATCCTTTAAAAAGGTTTCTAACATTCTAACGGATATGAACATATATAAAATATATAAAATATATATATATATAAATATATGCACGTGACATGATTATAATAAACTTGGATAGAAGAGAACAGCTGCTAAGATATGCTTTGATCTATACATACAAACAAACCAGGTTGAACTATCATATATTAAATCTCTTACACATACCTACAAACAAACCAGGTTGAAATATCATGTGTTAAGTCTCTTATACTTACATACGAACATTGTACACATATATGTATGTAACATCAGGGCTAGATAAAATATAATATCTTTCGTATTTGAATATAAAAATAAAATATAATTTATCATCTTCATATTTATCTAATTTTATCCAAATAATTTCAAATTGTTTCGTGTTTTAATTTTTAATTATTTTTTATTTCTAATTAAGACAGAAACCATGACACAAATCTGACCAGTGATATGTGTGATTACTAATATAAATTTATATATATCTTGAAAGATTAAAATTAGGGAATGTCAAGATTCATATGGTATGTCAAGAAATATTAATGTACAAAAATATACCTAAAATATTAGGGTTTCATCAAGGTATTTAAATATGAGTTGACATTCATCATGTGAATCTTGACATTCTTCAATTTCGATCTTTCTCAGTAACATATATATATATAACATAATATATAAATATAATATGTAACACATTATATAATATATATATATATATATATATATATATATATATGTGTGTGTGTGTGTGTGTATGTATAGGAAGATAGGAGCCGGTAAAGCGTAACACGTTCACGTATGTGTATGAACGAGCTGCGTCGTCCATAGTTTCTCAGCGTGGGACCAAAGCGACTCAAAAAGTCGCACGACTCGCGTTCAGCGACTCTCAGATGGTATATTCTATACATCGTCTATGTAATACTTGAAGAAACGAGAGAGAAAGAGATAGAAAAATTTAGAAGAATCCGAAAAAAAAGGAAGATATCAATCAAATTATTAAGATAATTAATAAAATAATAAAAACTTATTGAGATAATTGTCTGTTAATTGGATTTACCAATAATTTTCTATATGATATGATCTGAAATAATTCGTAGAGAGAAAAGAAAATAATATAAATAATCAAATTATAATTTTAATATAATAATAAAGATAAAATAAAAATACAAATCAAAAAAAAAATAAGAACATCCCTTTCCCTTCCAAAAAAAAAAAAAAAAAAAAAAAACAGAATTAAATATTACCTATACCCAAATTCGGAAGACTCGAAAAACCACCACCACCACCACTGCCACCACTGCACTGGTTGTGGACCAATTAGAGAAGTTCATGGTACAGTCACAGAAAAGAGAAGAAGTTAAGGTAAAAAAAAGTAAGGAAGATGAAAAAGAAGAGAAAAAGAAACTGAAAGGAGAGGAGAGGAGGGAAGAGAAGAGAAGAGAAGAAAAGAGGTCCTGCTGCCTTCGAGGAATCCGTTTCTCGGCAAGAGACGTTCCCTTTCTCGGCCCTTTGTCGTTTCGATATCGAAAGGGTCGGCGCGATTCAAGGACAAAGGGCGAAGCTTGCACCGGTCGCGATTCACGAGGCAAAAACGGCAGCTGCTGTACTTCGTTTCCCTCTACCGGTACCCTCCCACCCTCCTCCTCCTCCTCCTCCTCTTCTTAACTTTCCCCTCTCTCTTTTTACCTTCTCGTTGGAAAAGAAGAAAGAAGTAGAAGCAAAAAAAAAAGTAAGATGGAGGAAGGAAGTAGTACTACTACTACTACGCAGGATAAGAACGGATATTCTTCTTCGAAGTTTACCTCCTCCCTTCCCCATTCCCTTTCCCTCCACCCCACTTACTTCCCCTTATCCCTCTCTCTTTCTCTCTCTCTCTCTCTTTTCCTCTATCAAGTTCTTACCAAAAGTTCCCTCTTTTTTATTTTTCTTCATTGCAAGTACTTTCCATCCCTTTTCTCTATGCAACCAGCACCCGTCGATCTTGTATTTGAAAGAAGAACACGAGTCTCGAAAAAAAAGAAATCGAAAAAGAGAGGACAGATGATCAAAAAAGGGGGGGATAAGAAGGGAGAAAGATGAACGGTGAGAAGGAAGAAGAGAGGTAAAAGGTGGGGGGGGAAAGGGGAATTGGCCCTTGAAGACGGGCACGTGTCTTACTCGAGACATCTGCCACTGAAAAGGACCCGCTGTGTTGTTATATCGTTCCACCGTTATATCGTTTACCTTACCACCGAACCGTGTCCGTTTCTTTCTTTCTTACCTCCCCTTTATTCTTTTCTTCTTCTTCTTCTTCTTCTTCTTCTTCTTCTTATTTTGTCTTTTTTATTTTTTTCGTTTATTCTTCATTTTTTGGGGGGGATATTTTATTCTTATCACTAATTTGTATTTTCTTCATATTTTTGCTTCCTCCTTTCTTCTTCTTCTTCTTCTTCTTCTTCTTTTTTCAATGTGTACACATTTCTTCTTTTCACAAATTTAAATATTCCTCTCACGTGTCCTTTTTATTTTGCTTCCTTATTTGTGTACTTTTTTAAAAAGTACGAATTTTCATTGTTTTTTTTTTCACACCGTCATTTTTCTCACATTTTTTTCCTTTTTTCTTTCTATTATTTATTCATGTAACTTTTCTTACCATGTACACTTGGATATACAATCTTTTTGCTACGAATAAATCATTTACATCGCACGTTTTTCTTTTTTTTTTCATTTCTTCTTCTTCTTCTTCTTCTTCTTCTTCTTCTTCTTCTTCTTTCTATGAACTTAAATTTTCTTTGCATTTCTTTCACTCCATTTCTTTTCTATTTCTATTTCTATTTCTATTTCTATTTCTATCTCTATCCATCATGCAATTCTTTCCTTTCTTTATGAATTTAGATTGATATTCTACTACTTCTACTTCTACTTCGTCTTTTTTCCACGAGTTAAGGTTTCCTTACACACCTTTTTTCAACAAACCTTCTTTTTCACCTTCCCATAAGACGAAATAACAGCGGCAGCTGCCCTTTTTAACATCTCTCATTTTATCTAACCGAAAATAAGTACATGCACCTGCCTGCCCTTTCCTTAAGGGCTGGGAAAGAGAAGAAACAGAAGAAGAAGAAGAAGAAAAAGAAGGTGGGGCTGACGAGGGGTGAGTTAAAAGAAGGAGGGACAACTGTTAAAACTCGAATTTCGAGAATGAGGGGCATCGTCATCACATATAACACAGCAATAAAATATTTTCTAGACAATTCACACAACCAAAGAAGAAAAAGAACAAGAAAACTTTCAACAACTCAAACTAGTTTTTCTTCTTTTCTCTTGATTTTTTCTTTCATTCTTATTATTATTGTCCCTTTTTTTTTCTAACGTACGATACAAGTATTAAATTCACGTTCGATATAAAACACGTTTAGAAAAGAAAATATATTATTATTTTTTTTTTTTTTTTGAATACTCAAACTCACCGTTTAAAAAGATTAGAAAAGAAAAAAGAAATATGGCGTCCGTTCGCCATGTTTGACTCGCACGAAGAAACATACAATTAGAATTTGTACCTTACCGCTGAAAGATTTCTTTTTTCGCGTTTTAACTTCCGTTTAACGTTTGTTTTTAATTTTTTATTTTCCACTTTCTTTTTTTTTTCATTTTCTTTCATTTTTCTTTTTCCAATTTATTACTCGTTACTTACGTGAATTAGAGATTGCACGAGTCTTCTATGTAAAACAGACCAACCAACTAGCTTCCGTTGACTTATGCAATACGAACGTTTTATTACATCACACGTTACATTTTATTGCCACTTACACGACCACGTTTTTTCTCTCTCTCTCTCTCTCTCTCTCTCTCTCTCTCTCTCTTTCTCTCTTGGTAATACTCTTATTATTTATTTTTTTTTTCATTTTATTTTTCTATTTTATTTTTTTTTCCTCTTACATAAATATTCATACGATAAACCGTGAGAAATCAACGGATAGTGTGTTGTATACGCGAACGGATTTTCTATACCTCGTTTACATATTTCTTTTTCTCGATGTATCGATTTATTATACTTTATCGAAGTATGACTTATACGTGAACGGAGATAATGTGCGGACAAATCGACAGATAAATCTGACTACTCTCTAAGCGAATATCCGTTCTTACTATCTGTGTTGAAATTTATGATAATGAGAAGTTGATTGAATTGATTCTATGAATGAATAAATGAATGAATGAACGAATAAATGAATGAATGAATGAATAAATTAATTAGAACATTCATAAAATTATGTTATATTTTTTTTTCTTAATTTTTATACTCAATTATTTCATTTTAAATACAAATATTTATTAATTATTAATAAAATATATATATATATATATATATAATATTTTACATATAATAAAAAAATATTAATTTAATTATTAATAAATATTTGTATTTAATATTTAATATATAATATATATATTAATTTGAATAAATTATTAATTAAATTTGTAATTATTCTATTAATAATTGTATATGTCATCTAAATTATGAAAAAACATGTATGATATAATAATATTATTATATATAATTTGTATATAATAATAATATAATATAATATAGTAATAATATAATATATATAGTATAATATAGTATAATAATATATATAATTTGATATATAAAATAAATTAATATAATATTAATAGTTGCATCAAAATGAACTTTCGAGTTCCTAATGCTAATTAATAATAATAATTATTAATAGATTATTAATAAATAAAAAAATAATTTGAATGTGACACGAATATACGGTAAAAAAAATATTCTAAAAAAAAAATTGTTCGATCATGTATAAAATATCGAGATGACGTGGTGTACACGAAAGAGAAAGATAACTATAGTTATAATGATTTGGGGTAGTGTTCAAGGAAGAAGTTAGTGTTGCGATCGTAGGTGACAGAAGGTTGTGCCATTTCTATTCCAGTCGCGGACGACGACCCGCAGACGGCTCCCAGACTACGTGTTAATAACTCGAGAAAAGATTTCACATCAGAGAAGAAGAGAGGAAGAGGAAGTAGAAGAAGCAACGAGGAGGAGAGGATTGTGCGTTCGAGAACACGTGTCCAAATCGTTTCGCACGCAGAAACGTAAGAAGTAGGTCAACCAAGTCCAACCCCTCTTCATACTTCTAACCCCTTCCCATTCCTACTTATACTAATACACTATTTTACCAATGAAACCATGTCTGTGTGTACTATTTGGCATGTCGATCAAATCCCAATTTTATCGTTTGCGAGATCTTATGAATTGTAAAATTCAAATTAATCTTTTATATATAAATTATGAAATCCTTTTTTTTTTTTTTATCTAACAAAATTATTTTTTATACTTAATAAACATAATTGGTAAATATATAATTGATATACAGAATGTAAAATAAATAACACCAAAAATACAAAATACTTGTAATATAAAATATATAATATTTATATCATATAATAATTATTATATCGTATCAAATATAATTAATTATATTAATTCTTATCACAAATATACTAATATAGGGGTTGATAAAATTTACAGTTTAAACTACTAAAAAAAAACGCTAAATTTCGTTTTTAAATCTTACTGAATGTGAACGAAAACGAACCAAAAAAAAAAAATATTTTAAAAGAAAAATCATCAAAATTAAAACTCACCCATAATAACTTCACAAAGTCATCTTACTCTCCTCCCCAATGGATTAATGAACAAACTCCGTCAAACCATACGATTGTACTCCTTTCAATATTCTGTAAATACACAAGAAAAAAAATTACGATAAATAATAAATCAAATAATTAATAATAAAAAGACATTATATGATAAAACAAAGCAAAGCAAAAGAACAATCAAAAGTCGAGAATAAAAAAAAAGGAAATTTGACGAATGTAACAGAGTGGAAGAAGAACACAGAGTTCCGAGTAGTTTGGTGATGTCTGAATAGTTGATAAAACAGAAAGAGAATCCGAATAGAAGTAGAAGTAGAAGTAGAAGTAGAAGTAGGAGACCGAAAGGAGGATGAAGTGATGAAGGTGGAGGTGGTGAAAGAGGAGGATTGGGAAGGGAAAGGGGGAGGGGAAAGTCGGTTAGAGGAAAGGGAGAGATTTAAAGAGGGCTGCTGTCGTCATTGGGATTCTAACCGAGCTCGTCCGCTTTTAAATGGACGACCCCTCGTCGTTTCGTCGGCAACGAAACGGCTTTAACACTATGCGCTTCGTCGCCTACATTTACGCGCTTCTCTTTCTCTCTCTAACACATATATGCACATACATACATATATATATATTTATAGTTGGTGTGCAACACGAAGTTGAATCGCAGGACGGACGTGTGGACGGGGCTCAATACCTTTTAGGTACGAAAGGAAGCGAACTTCCTTCCTACCTCCGATGTCACGCGCGGAACACGAGTCATTCTATGTATGTGTGACAGAAAAAGAGAGAGAGAGAGAGATAGAAATAGATAGATGGATAGAAAGAAACTTAATGCGAGCGAGTGAGATAGAAACATATTCGCTACCGTTTATATAATCCATCCTGTGACGTCAAGTTGTTTAATCCATTCATTACCCTATCTCTTTCTTTCTCTTTCTCTCTCTCTTTCCATCTCTTTTTCTATATCTTTCTGTCTCTTTTTCTCTCGTGGTACCACTGTAACACAAAAATAGAACAATTAACGGATGCACCAGTAGCAACACTGACAACTGCACAAGTAATGCTTTTATACATTGTCTTCATTTTTTTTCATTTCTTTTCCTTAATTTTCGTCTTCTTTTATTATAATTGTGTTGTTGATTAATTATATATGTGGTTTGATAATGTATCTGTTAGTGATATTAATTTTACAATTTGATTATATATATATATTTTTTTTGAATAATTTTGTGTAGATTTTTTATTAATTTTATTTAATTTTATTTTAAATAGATGCTTCTTCTATTTGCAAAACATATTGTAATATTTCTGTATTATATTTTATCGACTAGAATTAATAGAATTGGAATCAAATTTATTACAATTATATTTAATCGATGAAATATGATTTCTTTTCGTAATGCCAATCAAATAGAAATATCGTTGGTGAATTTTTTGTTTTCTTTGCTTTTTTTTTAATTTCTTCCATTCGAAAAAATATTCTTATTAGAATGGTACCATCACTTTTTATCAAAAAAAATAAAAATAAGACAAAAACACGTAACGTACAGAACAATTACAAATGAAACGATATTGAAATATTAAAAATGTATTCTAAATTTTATTCATAAAAATCAATCGTTCGAAAAGGAAGAAAGTTAAAAAAGAAAAAAAAAAGAATGGAACAGAAAAAATGGTACAAATCAGACGTATTTTTTGGAAATCATACTTTTCCAATGCGGACAAGAAGAATTCGTGAAAAACCTACGAGACGTGATGGCATTTCTTTCTTTTCTTTTCTTTTTTTTCCCCTTTTCTTTTTTTTTGTCCTCCCTTCATTCGACTTTACTCAGAGCACAAGTTTTACGTGTATCAGAGGATCGAACTTCTCTAGATCTATGCGGATGTTCGTTCAACGACGACAACGACGACGACGACGACGACGAATACGACGACGTGTGCGGTATGGTGGTACGGAAGAGTGGGCGGACACATATCCACGAGGAAACGATTCACAGATATGTACGTCAGTGATCTTCATTCGGGATTTTTCACGTTTTATCAATGACTCTTCATGTTCCTCCCGTATATCTTATCACTTTTGAAAAAAAAAAAGAAATTAAACAAAATTTTCTAATAAAATAATCACTCGTATATATTTTAAACGGAAATAAGTATTCAAATTCCATTAATTAACCTCACAGAATGAATAATACGAATAAAAATAATAAATTATTTATATAAGAACTTTCCTCACATACTCTCATCGATCACTTTTTGTTAATTCTACTAACACAAATCACGATTATAATTTATAAATTACGAATTATACATTATTAAAAACATTTTTATTCTCATCATTTGTACACCACCTGTGTTTTGTTGTTTCACACAATAATTCACAATTTATATAATATTCTTCTTTTTTATCCAGTTAGAAAATAAAAAAATAAAAAAAGGAATCGATTGAGAAACACTGAACCATACGTGACGGTAAAACAATTGTCTAGTGATAACGTACTAAGAATATCTTGGACGAATGGTCAATACTTTTTCAAGCAGTCAAAGGCGGTATGACGTAAGGGCGAACACGACGGTCGATAAGAATTCCGACGCCTCCATTCAGTCGAGTACGAGAGAAAGAGGAAACCCGGACTCACCAGGGAAAGAGGGGAGTAAGAGGGGGTGGGGTAGAAGGGAGGAACATGGAGAGGTGGAGAGTCAGCGGGGAATCGGATACCGATACGAGAAGTCACGATTACGAAATCGTATTGCGAACGTAAGAGAACCATGGAATCTCATTCCAAAGAGAAAAAGGAAAAAAGACAAAGAGAAAAAGAGAGAAATAGAAGATTTGAGCGATATGAATCCTTTCTTTTTCGAGCAACCAAATTGAAATTTTTCTATGTGTTGGTTTTTTTCGATTTAGAAAAGAAAATCAAAGGCATTATTTTATCAACTTTTTCAAATTGATTTTGTTTAATAATTTTGTTAAGCATTCTACTAGTTTCATATATTTTTTTTAGATAGAGTTGTGATTGTATGAATTGTACAATGAGTAATAAAGTTTATTGTTTTATTTATAATATTATATAATTTATGTTCAAACTTACTTTTATTTAAAAAAAGAAAGAAAAAGTTTAAACACCAAATATTTTTAATCAAATTCTCGTAATATTATACACTACAAATAAATGATAAATAATAATAATGAAAATAATATAAAAAGAATAAAATAAAAATTCGAAATATATATATTACAATAATAATAAATTACAAATAATTATAATAAATATTTGATCGAACTCGACACAATATTCGCCTAACGACGAATGGGAGAGATCAAAGAGGATTTTTCCTCGAGGCTAGTAATTTGTATCGATTGATCGTTCTATTCAGTAAGATGATGATGATGATGATGTCATTGGTTTTGAACGTACGATTTACCGTTCGTTTCAAAACGTGAAAGAAAAAAGAAAGAAAGAAAGAAAGAAAATATCTATTGAGAGAAATAAAATCAAAAAAAAAAAAAAAATAAAAATAATTTAGGGGATCTATTGGAATAAATAAAATAAATCGATGATGATGAAGAAGAAGAAGAAGAAGAAAAAAAAAGAGAAATCATTTAAAATAGGTTTGCCTTTGAGTATCCTTAACAAGCTCACTTTCTATATCTTCTTCTTATCTTATTCGAAATATACACCATAATACAACACATATAACTTAGGTCGGATATTATTTTACCGATGATTTGTGACTTGATATGATAATAGAAGAGAAAGAGAGGGAGAGAGAGAAAGAGATAGAATATATCTACACGAACGTACAATTTACTTACACGTGTACACACGCTTGTTATCGCGAATATTTTACGCAACAAGTCGCTCATATGTACACGCATGGTCTCAGGTGGCGCCATGACGCAATTCCTTTATCGGTTATTCGGTTATGCTCGGTTCCACATGATAATCGCGACATAGATACAAAGATAAAGACAACGATGATGATTATATGCTTATATTAAAAATAATATACTTATGGTTTATCGATATCCTCTTTCTCTTCTTGGTTGATTGAATTTACTATTTTATTTTCGATTTAAAATGAACTCACATTATACAATGTTAACCATCATCGTGTCCATCATACGAATATGTGTGTTTGATGTTTTAATATAATTTCTTTTTTAAAATTAGTTTTCATTTATTAATTTATTAAAAAGAATATTTTGTAATAGAATTATTTTTATCTTCTTTTCTTATTTGAATGCTGAAATATTATATTTATATATAATATTATAAATATAATAAATATAAATATAATTAAATTATTATAATTTTATTTATATTACATAATATATAATTTATATAATAAATTATTATATTTATTATATTTATTTATTTATTTTTTTTTATTTAATTATATATTATATATTATATTTTATTTATTATATAATATATAATATTAAATAGTAAAAAATATTATATCTCACAATATTATGCTGAATAACAAAAATTAAATCTTTCCACGTAGACATTTTTATCTGTAAAAATAAAAAAATAAAAAAATATAAAAAAAACAAATAAGATTCAACTTGACAAGAAATTGTTTAATAATTAATTAAATCGTATTTCATCTATTTAAAAATATTCATTCGGTAAAATAACATTTATTATATAAATAAATAAATTACTAAAGTTTTAATAGTACAAATTTCACAGATTTTGATATTCTTCTTCTTTTTAATTTTACGGATAATTATAATAGATAAAAAAAAAAAATAGAAAAATATAATTTCGAAGATATCCACCTAGATGAGATTATTATTTGAGGGAAGATTAAAAGTGATTGAGAGAACGTAGAGAGAACTAATTCACGTTCGGGAGCTTGGAAGTGAGCCTTTAAAACCGTCTCGATCTCATCCGGCGGCCAACCCTCTCGGGTTCCTCGAACGTCTCTTGTCGAGAAAGAACCAGACAATACGAGTTGTGTGTGCACGTGCACAGCTGTCCTCTCTTACTACTGTATGTATTACCAGAGAATAAAAGAAGAGACAACTAAATTTAAAAGAACTTTTTTTTTTGACAGTATTTCCATCGTCTTGTGTAAATGAACAA